TTTTTAAAATAACCACAGCGTTTTTTAAAATTTTTTGTAATCCTTAGAATGTCAGAAATAAATAGAAAAAACAACTTGATTTCGAATGAAAAAAGAAAAAGCCTTATAAAAAAAGTTATTGAAAATGGATACAGCGTCAAGGATCCGGCATTTCTTACAGATGTAAACTATCAGGCTGCTACAAATATTATATATAAGGTTGTATAAAAAGGAATGGCGAGTTGAGAAGAAAAAAACAGGAAAACCATCAAATAAGAAGAAGATATGCGGTGATAATATTATCAATTTTGTTGAAGAATTGATATAGAATTAAACCCGTTAATAACGATGGTAGAAATTCGAGAAAAAATAGAAAACATATTTACTATAGGCCTTTCTCTTGAATCTATATATATAAGAAGGATAATTTTAATATAGACTTCAGATTATTTTGGAAAAGATTTCTTATACATCGGTCAATATAAATTCGGAATCCAGTAAAAACAAACGCCAAATTTATGCTCAAAATTTCATGAACATTGAAGATACATTTATAAAAGTTTTTATAGATGAATCTTCTTTTAATTTGTATATACTTAAGAAAAACCTTGGGAAGATCTATATACAAGAGGAAAACCGACAAGTGCCCTAGAGTTCCATCAACCCGTGGAACCAATATAAGTTTAATATCGGCTATAACAGAAAATGAAGTTCTCTTTGCTAAAACATTTGTTGATTCGGTGAATTCAGATAAGTTCATTCAGTTTTTTGGTTATTTTAAAAAACGCTGTGGTTATTTTAAAAAACGTTGTGGTTATTTTAAAATACGCTGTGAAAATTTTAAAAAACGAGTTGAAATACTATAGTACTAACTAGTATACTCTCACTCTCTCCCTTTGTGCATACCTTATCAAAATTACTTGTATCTATTCTAGAACGAACTTTTGGACGAAATGGTGGTCGTACACGACGTTCTTCTAATATTTGCCAATCAATTTCTTTAAAAAATGGATGTCGTTGAATAGCCAACTCTCCACCATCCATTTGTACACAACCAAGTCGTCGTGATGGTGATTTGACTAAAAACTAAAATGAATAAAATAATATTTTTTTTTAAAAAAAATATTTTCATTGAATGAAAAATGCAGAGTTGTAACTTCGTTTTTTATTAATGTTTCGTAAATTAGGATACGCACACACACACGTACACATAAAAATAAAGCCAAGAAAGACTTTGCTCATTCTAAAGTTTGCTTTTTCGATATTTTAATTCAGGGTTATGAAATAAGAACTACAAAATCCGTCGACCAAAAAATACAGTTATTTATAAAGGTATTTACGTGAGATACTTTAGATCAGACGGCATCAGAAACATCCTACTGTGGTTGAGTACAAGTTCGCTTCTAGCGGTTAGGATATTCATCCAATATCCTAAGAGAATTATTGGTCAATTCCTATTGGTTAATTCCTACTGGTCAATTTTATGATCGTCCTAGATATCAATGTCACTTCAAATGTTGCTTCCTATTGGTCGTCTTAACTGTCAATGTCACAGATTTCGATGCTGTTTCCTATTCGACCGAAATGTATAAATACGCATTATCTGTAACGTTTTATGACCAGGACCCGGTCCCGGATCCCTAGTCCGGGATCCTGATTCTCTTCTGGACTCGGACCTCGTACTTTCTGGATGCTTGTGGAATACAGGTTCTACTTCATATCAAGTCTTCTTATTTTTACTCAATATGGGGGTTGGGATAATTGGATTTGAGTAGCATGTCGTGTCACCGGATCCTCGATTCTCTATCTCGTTTTCCGACTAGGTAAACTCGTATTCGTTCATGAATATCAAGTTGACCGGTTTACGTGCAGGCCTAACACTAGCTAAGGAAGAAATTAAGAAAAAGCGTTGAAGGTGGATAGGACGCATAATACGGAAACCGGCCGGTTGGAATCCTCAAGACCGAAGAACACATTGCCCCAAGAGTTAGGAACAACTAGAAAGGAGAGCGAATGACAGAGTTAGTTGATCGGTGGCCTATGCCTTGCAAAGGGTAACTGGTTTAAGTTAGTCGGTAACCCTTCAAGTTTACGTATTTATGTAGTTAGCAGTGAATCAAATACCTGGTGCATGAAGACTAGTGACACAACATGGCTACCGAATTCGAAGTAAGTGAGGTGGGTTTCATACCAGTGACCTACAGAATGAAAACCTAGTACCATGAAGCTACACCAGTTAGGAGATGTAGTACAATTGGCTGGAACGGTATGTACAAGTGATTACATATTGACGAATGTGAATTTTTATGATGATAACACACTCCGTTGCATTGTCATTTCTTACTGTGCTTAAACAAATAATTTTTGCTTACTCAATATTGTTTACACGAGGTTTTTATTGGAGTATTGTTGGGGACGTTAGATCCCCACTTGATAAAGGTCCTAATTATGAATTTTATATTTTAGCGCATGGGCTAATCAGTTGACCATGAGATTGCATTTCCCATCCGTAACTCTCATTGGTTGATTGGTTGTATTTTAGTACGCTATTTTTGTGGCTCTCCTAAGGATGTTTCTATGATGTATAAACAAACTCGATTTGTGTGCTTTTGAAAACCTAGATTTTCTGGGTGCTTGTAGAATACATTTTCTACGTCTTATTAAGACGTCTTTCTCTACTTAGTATGGCCTTGGGACGTTCGGATTAGAATAGCCTATCATGTCACTGGATCATTTGTCTTCGCTCTTATTTACCAACTTATGTGAACTCGTGGTAGCAGTCAAGTATACCAATTGACGAGCATCATAAGTATGAGTTACCGATTGGAGGATAGCGATAATCCAGTTGACATTCAGTTGATATTCATCGGACAAGGGAAGGACTAACACACACACCCACACCCACATAGATACCCAGTAAACAGAAAAGAAAAGAATGCTCTACTCTAATGAAATCAACATTGAGCTATGTCTTCAAATAATTATAATCGCAATTATCAAATGAAATTCACCAAAGTGAATCTGTTAATTCTGTCTTTCATTTGATTACTCTTTATAGCTTACTTCTCATCTGTTCAGATGCTATAAATTGATAGACTCACTAATCAGTCAGCCAAAAGAATGCCTTAATACAGCTCTCATCATATGGCCGTGTGTATATAACCACTGTCAAAGAAGTCTTATTGCCTGCCTTCTCGCGGCAGAAGTGTTGTTCACGTGTAACTGTGAGAACAGACAGATAGTGAATATCCGACAGACGATTCAACCGAGTTGGTGAGTATGGAGGATGATCCATGTAGAGGAGTTGGAAAATCCTCATTTCCAAACCAATAGTGTACATGGATTCCAGGATACCGAAGCAACAAATGACACGTGAATCGATTGTTGGTCACTGTCTACCATGAGACTGCTTTTGCAGACATTGTTCCTCTCTGTTGTGGATTAAACTTGTAGATCAAAGATCCTGAAGCTGGTACACAGAGAAAGTCATCTACTCTAGTTTGAGCACCCAGTAAGTAGTAAGTAGTATCCTACCTACTACTACTACTACTACTACTACTACTACTACTGTTAGTCATCTTACTTATTATCACAAAAATGTTAATTATAATGAACATATTTGATTTAAAGAGAGAAAAGAAAACTATCAACATACTTTAGATAAAATATCTACAGCATCTGTAGTTAAATTCGATGGATAAGCAACTTCTTCATAGGATATAGCATTGAATAAATCTTGTTCCGTGTCACCTTCAAATGGTGGAGCACCAGCCATCATTTCATACATTAATACACCTAATGCCCACCAATCTACACTAAATCCATAGTCCAATTCAGCTAGAATCTGTTAGAATAGAAAGGGAAAAAGATGAATGAGATACAACACACATATAGAAGAAGAACAATGATGAAAGCACCACAACCAAATCCACCTGTAGACCTTTCGGGGCTACTGCCAATCCTGGGCCCGAATAAAGGAGGAGAGTTGAGATGTGGGGTTGGCGACCCTATCCCAGAAAAAACTAACTTGTCAACAAAAAACGCTAACAAGAAAAAATAATTCAAACTAATATAAACTCTACTCTGGGAGTTAGGTCTTTATTTAGAAGAATTATGACGTCTCATGATGAAAGCCGAGTTCCTTCAGAAGTCATGCCCCTTCTGACAACCAGAACACTTCCATGATGTGGGCAGCTGGGAAGTTACATCCTTCCTCATACCCCCATAAAAGCACACAAGACCAAATTGGTTACAATCAAATCCACAACCAAAACATACCCCCCAGATCACACACAGAACCAAACTCTACCCTATTCAAATCATCTGAATTACATAAAAAAGGTGTCATGTCATCATTAGACTTGAAATAGACAACCTATTTCAATTGAAGAGCCCAAATGAACGACGATAGTATGTACCGGATGAAGCTCATATACAAATTGCTTAAAAACTGTTTTTTGTTGTTGTTGCTGAGAATGAAATCCCAGAGATTCACTCTCAAAAGAGACCCAAGAGATTCCATCTAATCATAGCTCGGTAGAATTTCTAAAATATCGACATGATCGTAAGGTGGTAGGTGGTTGGTTGGACACTACTGGTGTAACATTGATGCTTGCACGGATTGGATGATCACAGTGATATGGTTCAGACTGCATAAACAACTTCTAAATACAGATAGTTTTCATGTAGATTTCTGAAGCTTTGCAGTTCCCACTCTCGTAGACGGTTCTAACTCGTTGTAGTGACAAAGAGATTGTAATTCCGATACTTCATCTACTAATCTGCCATACTTACCTAGGACTCGCTTCCTAACCCCATCATTGCTTACTCGGTTGTCTCAGAATGTACGAGTAATGCTTCTTAGACGCCCGACCGTAGCTGCTACCTTTACGTGGTGGTCAGGTTTGCTTATCGTGATAACCCAACCGAACCATACTGGCTGGAACATATGTTCCTGAAGGTTCTACCATGACAGCAGCCACGTCGATTGGAGAACGATGAGACTAAAAGCAGCTACTCAACGTCTGAAGGCGAAGTCGTACTCTGACTGTAGAGGGGGGTGACAACAGTAAAGTGTTTCCCTCGGATAACCAGCATCTGCAGCGATGCTGCCTTCTCACAAGGAAAGAAGGGGTTAGAAAACGTCAACCCTAAAGATGTCACACGTCACCTTACCTCACGGATTTCCGTCTCCGTCGGTAAGGGCTGCCCACTAAAGGCTTTTAAAAACAACGGAGCTAATACTCAAAAAACCTTTAACAAAAAGGCCGTGCGTGATCGGCCTCCAGCAGTTGTTCCTTGGGCTCTTCGGTGACCAACACTAATCTATCTTCCTTTTCAGGTCCCTCAAGAAACAACCTTCCACGGTATGGGCAGCCGGGAAGTGACAACCGCCCTCATACCCGGTAACAGCACCCGAGACCGAATCGGTAACAACCAAATCCTTCCGTAGACACATATGGTCGAATACTAATAACCTACGAATACATATCCTTTACTCTTACTGGCCATGTTTCACACCCGTATTAGAGGACGCAGCGAACTGCTGCGCAGCAGACTAAGCAACAGAATAAATACCAGTAGAAGGAAAAGAAACCACATCAATAATAATAATAATAATAATAATAATAATAATCAAAACTAACCTCTGGTGCAATATAATCCGGCGTACCACAAAATGTCGATGTTAAACGACCCGGTTTCATGCCTTCTTTACACATACCGAAATCAGCTAATTTACAATGTCCTTCAGCATCTAGCAAGATATTGTCTAATTTTAAATCACGATAAACAATGAAATGATTATGTAGAAACATCAAGGCTAAAATCACTTCAGCAGCATAAAATCTTGCTCGAGCTTCATCAAAACGACGTGCACGTTGTATTTGAAACATCAAATCACCACCATTCACATATTCCATAACAAAAAATAAACGATCCTTTATGTGTTGTTTACATGGAAAATAAAGGAAACAAAAAAAGAGTTAAGTAAAGTAAATAAGTTCACATGGTGAGTTGATTGATTCATGAATATAAATTAATAAAAACAAAACAGACATTGTTACGTAAAATGAGAAATGAACCACCTCATCAAAAATAATATTTAAACACAAATGTCATAAGTCGAAGTCACAGTTTATTGACAGCAAGCTGAGAGAGATAATAAAGGAATGATCGTGTAAATAAGACTTGTTACGAGTGTGTGAGGGTTCTATCGCACACTCAACAACAAATGCAAAAGAAGACGACCAGTGTAGCAGCAGCCTCTGCGGCAGCAATAGGTCTCAACATACATACATAAAGGAAAAAGTAAAATTCTCCGATGCAACACAACATGCACCAACCAAATCACTCTTGATGGAGATGCCTTAGAGGACGTTCACATATTTGCATATCTTAGCAGCATCATCGACAATCAAGGTGGATCCGATGCAGATGTGAGGGCGCGGATTGGCGAAGCAAGGGCTGCATTTCTACAGTTGAAAAATATCTGGAACTCCAAACAACTTTCAACCAAAACCAAAATAAGGATTTTCAATGCAAATGTCAAGACAGTCCTACTGTATGGAGCGGAAACTTGGAAAACTACCAAAGTCATCAACCAGAAGATACAAGTGTTTATTAACAGTGTTTATAAACAGTTTTCTACGCAAAATACTTCGGATTCGTTAGCCAAACACGATCAACAACAACGTACTGTGGGAAAGAGAAAACAAACCAGATTCCAGTGCAGGAGGAAATCAGGAAGAAGTGGTGGAAGTGGATAGAACACACATTAAGGAAAGCACCGAACTGCGTCACGAGACAAGTCCTCACATGGAACCCTCAAGGCAAAAGGAAAAGAGGAAGGCTAAAGAACACATTACGCCGAGAAATAGAGAAAGATATGAGAGGAATGAACAAACATTGGACAGAACTGGAGAGAGAAGCCCAGGACAGAGTTGGTTGGAGAAAACTGGTGGGTGGCCTATGCTCCGTTGGGGGTAACAGGCGTAAGTAAGTAAGTAAGTACGAGTGTGAGGGTGGATATCACATGGCTGGTACGGTAGGATCTAAAAGAATATATATATTCCAGACAATATAGCTTGGTTCGGTTATCATGAACGATCACCATGTCATGAATATACATTAATAAATCTTGAATAAAAAAAATAACTGTTACGTAAAATGAGAAATTAACCACCTCATCAAAAATAATACTAAACACAATTGTTATAGACGCAAAAGGCTACAGAGTTTATTGTTAGGATGTTCATCTACCAAATATCCTAGGAAGAATTATTATGTAAGTATTGGTTGATTCTTATTGGTCAATATGTAGTGAATGAGAACACAGGTGGAGGCAACCGAATTGTATTTAACGAAAATTACAGAGTTACTCAGTAAAATCGGAAAACCATATCGTAAATCGTTCATTTGCAAAGGATCAGTTCATCCTATGGAACTGGACTGTTCCTGTTGCCAAACATCAATCCATTGTCACTTTTCATGCGTTTCATACAAATTCCATTGTTTTCTGACTCTTCCTTTCTTGATCTTCCCCCATATTATGCTACCAGACTTTACGTTGACACTCACGCTATATACTACTTATAAGTAGTTCGCACCACAGCACCACACTCGTCCCCCCCTTTTAATAAGCTGTCGTCGTAGTCCTTCAAAACAGAGCCCCTGGTCAGTTAATATCACCTTCCGTATTCCGTGACACGCTACAATATGCCGGATTACCACATCGGTCATCGTTCTTGATCACTGGTCTGGAATGGATACGGCATCTATCCAACGTGTAGCGTCCACAAGTTCCCGATGCTGGAACACGGCGGCAGGCACACACTCGACAAACTGCGACGCCAAAGACTGTGCCCCGCCCACTCCTCACGGCGCGATCCGGTGAGCTCCACAGCAAGCACCAACAGGTCACCATCGGCCGACAGCCGCGCCAACCGGAACCTCTGCGGCGCCTCCTCCCTGTCCGCTGGGCTGTCGAACTCCATTATCAGCCGCCCGGTGACCGTCTCCCACGCCGTCTCCTCGGTGGTACCGTCCAGGCTGTCGTGTGCCGCCTCCGCCTCACCTCCCCGCAGCGTCCCCAGCACCGTCAACTCCGCCCGAGGCCCCCACCAGCTCCACCGTGGCCCCAAACTCCCGCAAGAAGCTCCGCAAATCTCCGTCCTGCAACTCCTTCGGCCACGGGAGCTCCTTCCTTCGAGCAGGCAGCGACACCAAATGTAGTGAATGAGAACACAGGTGGAGGCAACCGAATTGTATTTAACGAAAATTACAGAGTTACTCAGTAAAATCGGAAAACCATATCGTAAATCGTTCATTTGCAAAGGATCAGTTCATCCTATGGAACTGGACTGTTCCTGTTGCCAAACATCAATCCATTGTCACTCTTCATGCGTTTCATACAAATTCCATTGTTTTCTGACTCTTCCTTTCTTGATCTTCCCCCATATTATGCTACCAGACTTTACGTTGACACTCACGCTATATACTACTTATAAGTAGTTCGCACCACAGCACCACAAATGTATTATGATTGTCCTAGCTATCAATGTCACGTACTTCAAATGTTTTTCCCCAATCGTTGCCTTAACTGTCAATGTC